TTACTGTCCAGTATATCTGGGGGCTACAAAGTTGTTAAAAATAAATGAGTTGGGGTTTTCGTCTAAACCAAATTTTAGTCAAAGGTTAGCCCTTTTTGATATGCTCCCAGTTGACCTTTGAGTGATAGTTGGGACTACATTTTAAATATGTAGATGGTGCCAAAACCCTAAAAAAAGAAAGATGAAGTTAGGACGAAAACTATATTGAAATCCAAAGCACATTTTCCTACAATTAAACCTGAACAAATAGCTCTGCATATTGTTAACTATTTCCATTTTCCATTATATTACAGATTATACAACTTTTGGTGGTGTCTGCACCAAAACTTTGTGGGAACTTCATGATACTGTGAACCATCAGGCTATACATCCTTGGTGTAATTCTTTTAGCCACTTCTTATGTTTCACCTACCTGTAAAACTGTAGACTCATGAGGGAGATAAATTTATATTGGGGCTCATGTGCTTACAGAGGTTTTGCTTTGCTTTTTTTTTTCTTTTTTAGGCTGCCTACTCTATCCTCTCTATGTCATAAGAGGAGCTGTTTTTGGAAAATAGAGTAGAAATGTAGTACTTTGTTTCCAGATTGTTAATCATACAATGAGTGCCAAAGAGCCAGCAGCTTCCTTTTAATTACTTGGTTGGATTCTTGCTTTATCTTGAAAGCACCATCCTGGGTATTGAGACATGGCAATGAGGTTGATGAAGATTTCATTCTCCAAATGGTTTGATTAGTTCTGTTGATTTTCTATAGCTGCTCATTATCTCAATCTACCCATGGAACTATAAAGAACAAGCTAGCATTTAATTTTTTTCCCCAAAGTATTTTTTGAAAGATTGTTAATATGAATTTGAGATAGAAAATGTATCTGAACTGTGCAAATTATACTCATATGTTGAACAATTCGGTTTGTTGCTTCAGTCCCATTTAGTTTGGTTATATTTTTGTTGTTCTTGGCTGTATAAATCAGGGGTGTCAAACTCACATCATCATGTTGTTGTCATGTGACATATCGTGATTTTTCCCCCCCTTTGCTAAACCAGGCATGGGTGAGGACAGCATGTGATGCATCCGGCCTGTGGGCCATGAGTTTAACACCCCTGATATAAATTTTATTAAACTTTATGAGCTTTCACAGTGTCCCCTGTGCTATCTTTCATTCAAATCCAGACATGAAATTCAATGAACATGTGTATATGAACATGGGAAGAAAGAACTGCCTGAGAACTTGTGGCACATACATCAGATTCATTATACTGTAATTCACTTAGATGCTCACACAGCTATTTTGCCATTTTCCTCTTGGAGCAGTAGGAAATCAAGATCTTTCAAATCTGGCTGCTCAGCCAGTGTGCCTTACTGTACACGTGGAACAGTGTGCATATGTTTCTGCTCATACAGCTTTAATGTAAGTGTCATGACTGGTGATTTCGTCTGCAAAAATTCCAGGTCCATCCAATATTGTCCCGTACAGGAAAACCCACCTCCAAATGGCACGAACAATGCTCTAGTTATTGTAGGCATCAGAACGATTTTTTTTCTTGTTCCACACATGATTGACTGATTGAACAGTTTATTTATTTTTCACATGTTTGAACTGGCCTCCCTCAAAAAATAACATTATTTTTATTCCTCCTGAAAACTATTGGTCAACCAGTCAACTATTCAAGCTATCAGCCAACAGATGCTGTGAGATTTCTTGATTGCCATCTAGGCATCATCCAGAACTGTGTAGTCAAGATGAAGCCAGTGGATATGTGCTGCTAAGAGCTAGAGTTTGAAAAAGAGTGTCAGGCCTGAAAGCCATCTTTTGCATTGGGCCTTCAGGCCTGCCACATTTATTGCTGTGGGAAACTGGGAGGGGGGATTGTATGGAGCATGGGTGATATGTAGTCATAATAACATTCCTTTCTCAGAGAGTCAAGGACATCTTGCCTTGCACCTAGAGGGGTGTGACTGGGACGCATCTCCAGTTGGCACAGTGCTTTGATTGAACCATGTGATGGACATGTGAGTGCTGGGCTTTCTTTTGGGTGGGGAAAACCTGGAAGCTTTCAGATTCAGGTTTTCCCAGATGTGCCAATATTACATCTCTAATAAAATGGAACTTTGAGGAACTTCAACCCTCAGAGTCTTCTTTCATTGGAGGTGTTACTTGGAACCCTGACAAAGAGGTTTGCTGTAAACTAACAGAATCTATTTCAGATTCATCTAAACTATGAATCCCTACAGCCAACTCCTGCTGGAAGTAACAGGTACTGGGAGTGAATTTTCTATCAAGCAGACTGCCAAGTTCCTTTCAGTTACACTTTCAATTATGGCATACATGACCTGCTCACTTTCCTGGCTTTTACTTTCAGGGTTTATCACTGGATTAGTGAATCAATCAAGCCATTTTTAAGAAAAGCCATTGCAGAATTGGATTTCCTTTGCAGGCAGGAAAAGAACTAAAAGATGGGTGAAGAGATCAGGAAGCAGAGCAAAAGGTTTGTAGCCACAGGCAAGTGGCTGAACAACTGGAACCAAAAGATTGCTGGCATGGAACATTGCTGGCATGGAACAGGCCAACTCCTCAATCCACTTCAACTCACTATATATTCCTAAACACAGCATTTATATCAGGATATTAGGGGAGAAAAGCCAACACTTAAAAATAGAGAATCTTAAACTGTCCGCAGACATCTCAGCCTGAGGGAGAATGTTGAATAATAGGTGGAAGCATGCAAACGTGCTTGCGAAATTGTTAGTAGGCCATTTTTGTGCTAGGCAAAAGAGATGATTTAGCCTTAGAAAGAAATAGATAATTCTAGATAATAATTAGATCAAACAACTGATTTTAAGAGTTAGATTTTTATGTAAAATTTCCAGTCTGCTATTACAGAAATCTGGATTCATATAGAATCCACCCTGCAATAATGATGTATTGCTGTTCTTAAGCACATGCCATTCTTACATACAATCCAGTGGTGAAATCTAAAATTTGTTACTACCAGTTCTATGGGCATGGCTTAATGGGGGAGTAATGTGACGGGGTGGGCGTGGCCAATTTTTTTTTTTTTTTTTTACTTTTAAAAGCATTTGTTGGCCGAAGAGGTTGTAGAAAAAATGCTTTTAAAAGTTAAAAAAAAAAGCCTCTGATGATTGTGCAGCTCAGCTGGGCATGGGGAGGGCAGGGATTTTTGCTACCGGTTCTCCGAACCACCCGCCTCCATCGCTACCGGATCGAGTGATCCGGTCCGAATTGAGAGCATTTCACCCCTGATACAATCACATCTAACCCAGGGGTGCTATTCAGCAGGTTCTGACAGGTTCTAGAGAACTGGTAGTGGAAATTTTGAGTAGTTCAGAGAACCAGCAAATACCACCTCTGACTGACCCCAGAGTGGGGTGGGAATGGGGATTTTGCAGAATCCTTCCCCTGGAGTGAGGTGGGAATGGAGACTCTGCAGTATCCTTCCCCTGCCACGCCCACCAAGCCACATCCACCAAGGGGGGGATACTGCAACGGTCATAAATGTGAAAAACGTCATAAGTCACTTTTCTCAGGACTATTATATAGTCCTATTATATATAAATCAAATTAAAAAAAAACTATTGTAACTTTGAACAGTCATTAAACAAACTGTTGTAAGTCAAGGACTATCTGTACTACATATAACGTAAGGGATTAAAATGCCCATTTAAAATAATAGAATATAATCCCCAGCAGAAGACAGTATTGGCTGCCTCTGTACATTATGCAAGCCATAATGTGACATTTGGGGATTTTGGCTTAACCTGAGGTGTGAATCCAACCATGGAGTGAGTCTTATACAGAAGGCAATAGTTCAAACAACCATGTCTTAGGGCAACGTGGGAATCCGATTTCTCACATTATACTCAGCCAGTTACCAATTACATGGCAGTTTAGTGTAACTTGCTTTTGAACTGCAACAGTAAAACTGACCTTTGTAACAAAATGTTGTAATATATGTGATCATTTATACTTTAAAAATGTAATGCAGTGTGTTGCCTTATAGTTCACCTGGGTCACTAATCTGACAAGATTTGTTATTTGACCCTTTGCCACTTGTGATTCAATGGGGTAAAAAGAAAGAGCTGCTTGCTCTAAATTACCTCACATTAAGGGGGGTGGGGTGGTGTTGTGCGCGCTGTATGTCTTTATTCACTCATTGCTATGGCACTCTGTGCATGCCCATTAATTAGTTTTTAAGCCTCAACACCAAATACGAAATTTGCAAACATATCTGGATTATGGTAGAGGTTGTCAGACTGAAATGTGTATGCAGATAAAAGAAGGGGAGTTTAACAACCCAGAAGAATAAAACCACATACTGTATGTTTTCTCAGAACAGAGCCCCACTTGGGAGGGGGGGCGGGCAGAGTGGGAGCCCTCAATGAAACCTGAACGCTAAGAAAGATCGATGATGACGGCTTGGCTTTGCCAGATGAATTTTGGCCACCGCTTTAATAGCCCCTGCAAAAACCAGCTCAGGAGAAGAGGGGGGGGGGGGAGAGAAGGGGGGCTGCTGAATTTGCTGTTTTTCGAGTGCCCCCACCTCCCTCCTCTGAAAGCTCCACTGCTTCAATTCAGACTAGAAATCAATAGGATGGGGGCGGCGAGGCTCCCGGTTGGCAAAAGGCCTATATAACCAGCAGAGAGCAGCTAAAGCTTTCCCACTCCCCGGCTTCCAGCATTAGCAGGCAGGGCAAAGCCGCTCTGGGGGGGGGCTCCGCAGCAAGCCTCTTCGTCCCTATGGACAAGTCTGCCTGGGGCTGGAGTTGACCAGCGAAGGCGTTGCGTTTCTTGGAGCAGGAGATGAGTGGAAGGGTCACAGCCAGACCGGAGGCGGAGTCTCGGGAAGCCTTGGCTGCTGCAGCTGCCGCGGCTTAGTGCTTTTACTACGCCCCCAGCGCAGAGACCCTTCGGTGACTTGTTCCCTGGGAGGTGTCGGCGCTGCTGCTGCTGCTGCTGCTGCAGGCTGTCTTCTGCTATTCTTGAAGCTTTGGTAAGACGTTCCCTCAGCCGCTCGCTGCTATGCTCCCTTCTCAGGGTCGAGCTCCCATCCCGCTGCTGGTGGTAGCGGTCGCCTGGTTGCTGTGGGCGAAGAGCTGCTTCTCCCAGCGCCTCTTGAGCGGTGAGTAAAGGGAAGACGCGTCCAATTTATTCCAGTTTGGGAGAAAAGTTCATCCGTGGATTCACCTGCTCCAGGACGTCCCGTTTTAATCTCTAGGGTTGTTCTTTTATTGTCCTCCTCTTGTTTCCTGCTGCAGCTGACCAAAAGCTGTTAGCGGTCCTTTGAACAATGGCTAAAAGTTTCTAAAGAGAAGATTCTCCGGAACTTCTCTTAATCCCACATTCATTGTAATTATTTAGTTATAAAATAGATGGGATCTTATTCTAAGGCTATCTAGAAGTAATCTGTGTCTAGTTTTGTACACCCCAGGAGATGAGCAATGCCCGTTGAAACAGTTTAGATGACATTATGTGAGAGAATTAAACGCTTAGATTTAGACGTGAACACTGCTGAGATGCTACATCTGTATCCTTCAGTCTTCTGATTTTTACGAGCATGTTTGCCTTCTCACTCTATCTCCTCCTATACTACTTACTTTGAAATATTTTTGCTTTTTCTGCTAATAATGGTACGTCCATTAAATATCACAATATGTTACCCTCACAGCGAAAAAATTATATAACAGTTATGATGGAATGACTCTCTTTAACAATACAACTAATAGTAATTTTGGTATAATGTAATGTATTTTCCAAATTTTTAGCTTATGTTCCAAGTAATTATTCTAATCTGTAGTTAGTCTTTTTGTTCCCAGAGCATCCACCAGACTTTAATTTCAATTAATGTCAAGAAAAGTATTCACCCTTCCTCCACCAAGGCTGTATAATATATTCTGCAATCATTTCCCCATCCTACTCTGCCCCCAGAGCACAAAAGAGTAAATTGTATGAAGCATCCTTTCAATACATCTAAGGTTTCAAATATGATTACAGCCTCTGATTGATAGTGTGGTTGAGAAAGCTCAGGTTTTGAGAACAGCTGTCAATTAGAGTCAGTGTCTCTATAAACAGAGTATAAGCCTTTCTTTTTATATTATGAATACCTAAAGGTAAATACACCAACAATTGACCAAATGAAGATGTTTTTCTATCCTGAAATATTCTCATATGTCCAAACCACATAATCTTTGAAGCAGACTGTATCACTATCAGAAGTTGTCTTACAACTATTTGCTACATATTACTAGTTACTTGTATGAAAATGGTTTGCTAAAATAGAAAATGGGCAACCAATTTCAAGTTAGTCATTTTGGAATATATCTTTAGAGAATAATAGCACTGGGGGTTGGCTTGGTTTACCTAAATATCTATTTCCTTGTAAACTAATGTCTAACAACATCATAGACTGTGTATTTGTTTATAAGAAAAGATATGTCCATATTTTCTAAGGATATTCGTTAAACCTTTAAAAACAAAACAAAAAACACCTCACTTTTTTTCAACAAGAAGTTCTTGTTACACATTTGAGTTACATTTTCTTTGTTATGCAATAAAGTTCAATCTACTGTCTCCATTAATGCTATAACTGGCCAGTTCTGGATACAGAATTGTTACAAAGTAGAGCAGGCATTTTTCTGATACCAATAAAGGAGAATATTTGTATCTCGGTTGAAATGAAGAGTCCTGATGATGTTACCTAGTTTGGATAATGAAACATTGCAAGAAAAGAGCACCAAGGATCCTACATTTTTCTGAGACATTACATAATGGATTTTCTCATCCATGTCATGCCACTGCAAATAATTATAATGGGGAAGCTCTTGGGAGGGCCAAGAATTCACAATAGAGATACTGAACTTGATGTGACTATGTGCTGCGTTCAACTTGAAAAAAAGTTTAAATCGAGTATAGTTGTATGTAAAGTTGCAGAGTACATAAGTAATCTCTTTCCCTCCAGTTGTTCCTTGTTGTCCCAGAAGATTGGGTTGGAACAAACTCAATATCAGGAAGGTCACAAGTATTTTATTCATGGCATATAGAAACAAATTAATGACATAAAAAAGACTAGGTTAGACAGGACAAATATGATTCACTATGTGGAAGTACTTTGTGTCACAGAAGCAACATGCTTCAGTCTATGAAGGCCAAGAATGTCATTTGTCTTTTGATGTGAATTTTGTGACAAAACATGACAATTTTAAACATGATATGGCATCCATCAGCAGGAATAGATATTAAAATCTAATATTCAAAGGAGACACATTTTACTTTTTTATGGATACTTGTTAGCAGAGAGGTAGTTCTTATACAGGAGAGCAAATTAGACAGCCCTTTAACAGCTGGTCCGATACATGAGAACCAGCTGTCTTTTTAAAGGGCTGCCAATTTTTAACACACCCTAGATATTGCTGTTGATTTACCTAATTATGTTCCCTCATCTTCCCTTACTGAAGGTACACAATGAAAGATGTTTACCATTAATAAGTACCCATGTGATTCCCTTGACTACAGAATATGCATAGCATACCTTTCTATTATAAATTTTATGACTGTAAATGCTCTGTGTTAGTTAGATCCCAATGAAAGGCCTGGCTGATCCAGATGATGAATGAAGACTGCCTGGTTCTTCTGGCAGACTGAATAGTCATTATTAACTACAGTGTTGCCAAATTTTCCCCATTAGTTATGAAGCTGAAGCAGCAAATATTATCCAATAAGGTGGAACCATGTTATACCTACAATTTTTAATCATCCTGTGTATCACTTTGTTATTCATGAATTATGATAGCTCTATGTTTCTTACTTCATAAATGGATGCCACCATTGAGAAAGCTCTGGTATGAATTCTGGGTGGATGGAACACTTTCAGAGATGGGATACTCAACAGGCCCTTTCCAAGTGAGCAGATTCATTCTGATAATCTCATAGTGAAAGAAGTATGCAGATACACACATCTTTGTCAGAGGAAAATACTCCTTGAAAGATTTGTTCAGCCTTGTTAAAGGTGAATACAATTTCTTTGACATCAGCCTTTATTTCACATACTGAAATATTATACTGAAATATATAGATATTTCCTTTTCCTATATTGAGAATACCTGTAGACTTACATTTAAACAGATGGTGAGAAGCACATTACATGGCTTCCAGTTCTAAGCAGTATGCTTTAATAGGCCTGTGCAAATTAGATCCAATCCATTTAAAATTGTTGATTCAATTTTGAAAAATTAAGTGAATTCAAAAAGCCATTATCACATTGTCCAACTGAGGTTATTGGATTAAGATGGTTAATTCATTAGGAAAAAAAAGGGGGGCTATGCAAATACCCATTAAGACATCCAGTTAATCGATGAAGATCTGATTTGATTTGATAATTGAATTAGAAAGTCAATTTATCTTCAAATCAATTGTACTGCCCCCATTTTTGGATTTAGTTCTCATGAGGTTACAGGTAAAAGAAAGGTTAAAAAACTGGATACAAGAAAAACACAAGAAAAAAAACATTTTAATGGATTCTGTTAGGTATGATACATCTCAACTGATATATAACAAACCCTTATCCCTTTCAACTACTGATGTGATGGAATGTTTCTATAGGAACTAGCACTTCTGATCAATCTACGTGTTATTTACTGCTGCCTTTTAATCTTCTGAATGAGAAGAAATGGCATTTCAATCTAGACAGAAGTGTTGGTTTTGTCATGAGCAGAAAAGAAATCAGTGGTCACGGTCATAGTGGAAAGGAAATACATTCACTTATGGAAAAGGGCTGAGGAAAACACTTTAGTCCCCAGATATCTCACAGTAGCTTGAACTAAACTTAACACAACTGAAACAGTAAAAAGAATTTCCTGGTGACATTTCTGCCAGAAAAGAATTGTTTCTGTGGAGGATTAATAAGGTAATCATAATTCATATTCCACATCCTCTTTTGTAAATGCAGATTGTTAAGGCATCATTTGTCCCTAATGTAAGGTTTTGAAATATTCCACAGAACTGAGACACTAGACAATGGTGGCATTAGTTGATTTATTATTGTATTGATCCATTAGTCTCTATGCCTACCTGTAGTTAATGTTGCTCCAATAAATGTGAAAGGGAAGAAATAGATCTTATTGGAGTGCAGGAGGTACAACCATGGAGTCTTGATTCTGTAAAAGCATTTCAAGAGACACAGATAAATAACAGTACTATTGGAAACTGATACATTGTCTGGACAAATACATGGCAATATCCTTTGGGTGAATAAGATGATTTCAAGATTTGGACAAGATATTATTCATGTTTGCTGACATCCATCTGTAGTCATTGCCATCTGATTTAGATGAATGGAATACTAAACTGATGTCTGGATTAGTAAATAACTAGATGAATGCCAACAAAATTCAATCCAGATAAGATGAAAATTCATTCTGCTTTTACCTTGTGGATCCAAAATGATCTACATAGCATTCAGATTTGTTAGATATGCTTGCTTTTGAAACATCTTGAAAACTCTGTTGTGCTGCTCATGGGTTAGATTTAGGAACATAGGTTGTCATTTATAAAAATATTAATTATCTCTCATTAATGTTTGGCTTTATTTGTGGTTTGGGATTGGGTACTTTATGTATCTTCTTTATCATAGTCTATCAAAAAACCACTGGCTCCCAGTCCTTACATTTTAGGAATACTAAACAAATGCCAAGGCAAACAACATAAACTGAAATGCATTTTTATCTATGATTCTGATTTTAAGTTAAAAAGTTAAAATTATATGAAACACAAAGACAAAGAGACAGATAGCATGGAAATGAGGTCCTCTTACTCTGTCAGCCACCTCCAGTGGTGACTGTCCCTCTGGCAAAGCAAGCCAACTGACAAAGACAAGTTTTAATACTGTTCTGGAAGACCAATGGGTTTGGAAGAATTCTCACCTCTGGTGGTAAAGTATTCCACATGGACAGAGCCACAGTGGAAAAGGCTCCTCTTGACCGCTCCTGCCAGAATTCCTTAGCAGCTGGGATTTGTAGTAGGTCTCGTCCATTGGCATGAATTGGTGAGCTAGTTTCATTGGAAAGAGATGGCTCCTTGGATATCTTGGTCTTAGCAATTACATATCACATTTCTATCCTATCTACC